CATTCACTTATGGCGTTCTCAGGAAGCTCCTATTTGGATACCAAACCAGTGGTTCTCTGCCTGGCTGCACATCGGAATCACCTGGGAAGCTTTTAAAACTCAACCTCGTGCCCAGGCCAATTAACTCTGGAGGGTGGAGTCCAGAATCAGAAGCTTTACATTGCCCCAGGTGATCCTCCTGCAGCCAGGACGTGCACCACTGAGGCATCCTTTTCGGAGAGTGGTTGCGAGAAAGCCAAGTGAATGGAACTCGTATCTGGATAGTTTTTTTCTCAATTCCACCAGAAAAAGGGATTTTTAGAAAAAGGCACAGTTGTGCTTCCTCTAAAGATGTAGTCCGCAGTTTGGGAAGTTCTGGTTCCCAGAGGTTATCTGGAGCGCTGGTTGTAAAGAAGAAAGTCCTTGTCTTGGCAGAGTAGGCAGAGTTTCAGGCTTCGGCAGCTGCCTCCCGCAACAAAGAATGCCCAGATGCCCATGAGCACCAGGATTATAAATGCCGACCCCAGGTTTATTCCATAATGAGGACTTATGAAGGTCTGCAAAAGAAAAATAAATCAGCTTGGCTAATAACAGCAGGCTTATTAAACATGGAATAACCAAAGATAAAGGGAAGCATGAAATACTTTCAAGAACTTGGGTGTGTTTCAACACACGTGTGTCATGTGTTATGGACCCGAGACATGTAGAACTAAGCTGGTCAACAGGCACTGTGGGTCCCGTGCTTTGCTGTATTCAAATGGTAACCTTAGAAGGCAGTCATTAGGCAGAACCTAATGGAATACACAATACAAGATGCATGTCACATAACCAGTTTTCTATTCATTTCTATGTTAAATTGGTTCTTAAAATTTGCAAGAAAGTGAGACAAGTCCAAACTCCTTTAGTATGAATCCTTAGTACTCAAGGGAACATAAGGGAATAGTCTTTTTCAGTTGAGCAACAGCTGTGGGTCCCAAAGGTGTATTCATTTAAAGAACACTAACGGAACGCCAAGACATAGTGTGTACACCATGGTGAAGACCAAAGTCTCTACCTAATGGAGCTGCTGTACTAGCGAGGGAGGCCGGAAATGAATGAAGAAACAACTTAATTAGTTACAAGTTGTGATGAATGCTATGACAGCATAATTATCATTGTGATGAGGCTAGGATGGGTAAAAACAAGGTGATCTCCTTAGGGTGGTCAAGGAAGGTCCCAAGAAAGTGGTCGATTTTACAGTTAGCGCCTTATGCAGAAAGAATGTTCTTCTCAAGAGGCCTCTGTGGGCATGGCAGGCATTGAGCATTGTCTGGATTATTCTTCACAATAATTCTATACTTCAAATCTACTGAATTTTCATTATATAGAGTGCTACACTCTTTTGTGTTGTTCTTAAAATTTTTTTTCTCTTTTAAACAATTACAAAAGCAATACATGATTGTTGTAGAAAATTAGAACACAAAAATGAGAAAAATAGAACAAATTTTAAAACTTGAAATTCAGCTAGGTTAACATTTATTTTAAAAGCTCAAAAAGTAAAAGCATAAAGAGAAAAATTGATGAGACTATATAAAATTAAGAACTTTTGTTCATCAAAAGACATTAAGAGAATATAAAGACAAAGCACACCATCAAAGTTATTTGCAATACACACATCTGACAAAAGACTTTTTTTAAACAGAAAACATAAAGACCTCCTAAAAATCAAAAATAAAAAGATAACCCAATAGATAGGCATAAGATTCAAACAGCCACTTCAGAAAGAATGATCCGAATGGCCAATGAAGACTTGCTCAACCTCATCAGGGAAATGTAAATTAAAGCTTTTACTATGATTTATTAATTTATGCATTTATGATACCATGACATACCCAGCAGGATGGCTGACAATAAAGAGAATGTTGTGAGGAGGTACAGGAACCACAACTTGTAAATTAATGGCAGAGTGTAAGGCGATACAAACACTTTGAAAATTGAGTGGTATGAAGAGTCGACATGAGTACACTCCACGACCCAGCGGTTCCACTCCTAGGCATATAGCCAAAAGAAATGCGTGTGTGTGCATGTTCACCAAGAGATATACATCAGAACATTCACAGCAGTACTATTCACAGTCGTTAAAGATGAGAAGGCCAGGTACGGTGGCTCACACTTGTAATCCCAACACTTTGAGGGGCTGAGGCAGGAGGATTGCTTGAGCCCAGGAGTTTGAGACAAGCCTGAGCAACATAGTGAGAGCTCATCTTTACAGAAAATTTAAAAATTAAAATTAGCCAAGAATGATGGTGCATGCCCGTAGTCCCAGCTACTTGGGAGGGTGAGGTGGAAGAATCACTTGAGCCCGGGAGGTTGAGGCTGCAATGAGCCATGATTGTGCTACTGCACTCCAGCCTGGGCTACAGGGTGAGACTCCATCTCAAACGAGAAACATCATCAATGCCTCTCTGCTGTAGAATGGGTAAATTATGGTATAGACACATGGTAGAATACTATGCAGCAATGAGTGAGCCATTCAAGTCTGACAACTATCTTTCACACTGCTGATAGGAAAACAGTCTAGCATTAAAAATTAAAGGAAAACAGTTTAGCATTAAAAATTAAAGGGGAATTTGCATTCTCTATTTCACTCCAGCAATTCTGCAGCCAGAGCTACACTCTGAAGCAATTAGTTCTGAAAATAATAGATCGCCTGCACCTGGGAACTTGTTAGAAATCCACTAGTGATGTAAGGATGAATCATACAAATATGCTGAGCAAGCGGAGCCAGACACAAGGGCAAATGTTGTGCAGCTCCGTTTACAGATATACCAAAAGGTAGCACCGAGCTGTGGTGCTGGAAGTTAGAATCACAGTCACCCTTAGTGGGGACAGTGACTGGTGGAACAAAGAGGCTCCTGGGGGCTGAGAATGTTCTGATTGTCATCTAGGTGCTAGTTACACAGGTGTGTTCACATTGTGAACATTCATCAAGGTGTATACTTTTGATTTGTATGCTTTTCTGTAGGTGTGTTATTTTAATAAAACAATTATGTAATCATTTTCTGAAATCTGCCATTGAGAGAGAACTACTATTAACATTTTGGTAGATACTTTTCAAACTTCCTAGGTTCTTTCCTGGAGTCTCACTCTGTCACCCAGGCTGGAGAGCAGTCGTGCGACCTCGGCTCACTCCAACCTCCACCTCCCGGGTTCAAGCGATTCTCTTCCTCAGCCTCCCGAATAGCTGGAATTACAGGTGCCCGTCACCATGCCCGGCTAATTTTTGTGTGTGTATATATATATATTTGAGTAGAGACAGGCTTTCACTATCTTGGCCAGGCTGGTCTTAAACTCCTGATCTCATGATCCACCCACCTCAGCCTCCCAAACTGCTGGGATTATAGGCGTGAGTCACCACACCCAGCCAATTCTTTCCTTTTAATCATTAAAAAGAGTATTATCTACCTTCAGCCAAAAAAAGAAAAATAATATTATCAACTATTAATATTTACCAACATTTACTGGCCACCTACTATGTGCCACGAATTGAAGATACAAAGATTGGCAAGATAAGGCCCCATCTTTGATTATCAAACTCTAGTTAGAAAGAGAGAGAAAGAGAGACAAAAATTTTATTAAATAAAATATGCTAGCCAAGGATATGTGTTATACAAGGGCTAAGAATAAGGTCTAGTGATAGTGCTGAGTCTAAAACATGCAACTCTTCCATGTAGCTGTCATAGGGAATAAAGTTTTTCAAACTGACCGAGGTTACGGAAAGACAAATCACTGCAAATAAACAAGGGAAAAAATCTTTTAATAAGATCTACCAAAAAATTAAAAGTGATGGTCTTTCTCTGGTAAGAGATGACTCATTCATTCACTTGAATAGATTTTCTGAATTTCCCCACCGTCTCATGAGCATGTATTTCACCCAGAATAGAATTTAGCATTTTAGATACATAGACTTGAGTTCCAAAATACAGTCTGTGCATGGCGGCAACACTCACCTGGGCTGATACCAGCAGATGGGTCAGGAGAACTATAAGGAGGATGTACCACTTTTTCCTCTCACAGCCATCAAAAAAGACAATGCCCCAGAATACATGCAGCAGGATGATGACCAGCGTCATGAAAGCTGAAAGACAGTCAACTATGAGTGTCACTCTCACAGACACCATAGCCACCAAGCCCCCTTGTACTGTGCTTGGGCTCTCAGAATGTCCACTGCACCTCAGAGAGAGAGTTTACCACCACCTGACAGGAAAAGGACCTTGACACATGTTTGCCCACTCAAAAAGCAACACTGCTGAACAGGAGGCTGCTCTGCCACAGCTTCTTGTCTAGAATATGAATCTGTTTAACCATAGGTCAACTGAGATCTGGCTTGCAGGCAGCTTTCCTAAGGAATGCAATAAAATTATTGTGATGTCCAGCCAGCTTTTTCCCAATTAGCCTTCTGCCCTAGTAAAGAGAGACTTCAATGAAAAGGAATACCTTCTGTTTAAACAAGGCTCCTCGCTAAAGTGGAATTTTTCCTTGTATCCTTTTGAAAAAGGCCAATGGGAAAATATTTACAATCACAGCCAGGCACAGTGGCTCATGCCTGTAATCCCAGCACTTTGGGAGGCTAAGGTGGGCAGATTACTTGAGATCAGGAGTTTGAGACCGGCCTGGCCAACATGGTGAAACCCCATCTCTACTAAAATACAAAAATTAATCGGGCGCGGTGGCATGTGCCTGTAATCCCAGCTATTTGAGAGGCTGAGGCAGGAGAATCACTTGAAGCCAGGAGGCAGAGATTGCAGTGAGCCGAGATCACACCATTGCACTCCAGTCTGGGCAACAGAGCAAGACTCCATCTCAAAACAAAACAGAAAAGAAAAATATTTAAAATCACAATAATCGCTCCCCCTACCTGGCTCACCGGCCAGCGCCAGGCAAGGGGCGACGCCTCGAGGTAAAAAGGAGGAGGTGCGGGACACGGAGCCTGCGTGAGCCCTGTAGCCCTGGAGAGGCCGAGGCTCTAGGCTGTGTCTAGTGGGTGAGTGCCATGACGCATGAACAGGTGAGCTGCAGCGCTGACCTGGCCACCGACTGTAAGGTCCCAGAGACTACAGAATCTACGGCTTCCTCTGTGGGGAACTGCGAAGCCGCCGCTAAGTCACCAGAGCTGGAGCCCAGAGACAATGACAGCACCTGTGTGTTCTGCCGGATCGCAGGGCGGCAGGACCCGGGCACCGAACTCCTGCACTGCGAGAATGAGGACCTAGTTTGCTTCAAAGATATCAAACCAGCTGGGCACGGTGGCTCACGCCTGTAATCCTAGCACTTTGGGAGGCTGAGGTGGGTGGATCACCTGAGGTCAGGAGTTCAAGACCAGCCTGGCCATCATAATGAAACACCATCTTTTTTAAAAAAAAATTAACAACAACAACAAAAAAACAAAGATATCAAACCAGCAGCAACTCATCATTATCTTATGGTGCCAAAGAAGCATATTGGAAATTGCAGATCTCTAAGGAAAGATCAAGTAGAACTGGTTAAGAACATAGTAACTGTTGGAAAAACCATTCTTGAAAGGAATAATTTCAGACTTCATGAATGTAATGATGGGTTTTCATATGCCTCCGTTCTGTTCCATTTCCCACTTGCACCTCTGGCACCAGTGGATCAGCTTGGCTCCTTATCCAAGTTGGTTTATAGAGTCAATTCCTATGGGTTTATCACAGCTGATCATTTGATTGAAAAACTAAGAACATGAAAATGTCAACAGTGGAAGGTTTTTCTAATTTTGGCTCAGCATGAAGTAATGTTTAGGTCCCTTTTAAGTCTAATTGCAATTTTAAGGTTTGTTGGGTTTTATGAGAGGCTATTACTGAGTGGCCTTAAATATTTTCTGAATGTCTGTTTCCTGAGATCTGTGATACAGTTAGAATAATATTTTTTTACTGACTTCTTTGTTTCAATGATTACTTGTTTAAGGATTTTATATATATGATACTATAGATAAAATCCTATTTAAGACAAAGTCTGTTAATCAAGAAGGGCTCTGTATTTTTTTTAAGTTAAAATGTTTTCATTTCTCAGTAGTCAATTATAATAGTGATGTATTTATGAAGAATAAACTACTATAGAAAGTACTTTATTGGAACCTTCATTACTGTGAAGGAGAAAAAGAACTTAGCTATTTCTTGACAGTTCTATAGTTTTACACATACATTTTCAAAATAAAGAATACCATACTACACAATAATCTCTGATCTTGCTGAAGGAATTATATATGTGTCACTTTTTCCTCAAATTTCAGATGCCAGTTTTCACTTCTTGAAGCCTTGAATCTTTTTAATAAATCTGTTCTGAAAGCTATACAATATATATAATTTCTATCAGTGAATTTACAATAACTATCAAATTGGCTATCAGAATTTACTTAATGGAATTTTGCCTGTAATAGCATAAACAGGCAAGAAACATAAAGTGGTTCTCTCAATAAAACTAGCAGAAACTTGCTTTATGGTATGTTTTTGTATCAAAGAGAAATCAGAATAAAAAGCAGTTAAACTTTGCTTTTACCATGAAAAAGTCCTGATTCAAAAGTAGAGATGAGCTTAGATAAGAAAATTTGATAACACAAAGCTTGACATATCATTTTATGAGGCATATTTTGTTAGAAATTGTTTTTTTGGTGCTAATCTGCAGTCACAATAGTGAATATGAAGAAAACAAATCAATGTTAATCCTACATTGTGCCAGTGTATAACAGTACCATATAGCCGGGCATGGTGGCTCACGCCTGTAATCCCAGCACTTTGGGAGGCTGAGGTGGGTGGATCACGAGGTCAAGAGATCGAGACCATCCTGGTCAACATGGTGAAACCCCGTCTCTACTAAAAATACAAAAAATCAGCTGGGCATGGTGGCGCGTGCCTGTAATCCCAGCTACTCAGGAGGCTGTGGCAGGAGAATTGCCTGAACCTAGGACGCGGAGGTTGCGGTGAGCCGAGATTACACCATTGCACTCCAGTCTGGGTAACAAGAGTGAAACTCTGTCTCAAAAAAAAAAAAAAAAAAAATAGTACCATATATGTGAATATGAATAAATGAACATGAGGATTAATGTATTGTTGAAAATAGGCTGAGATGCTAGTTTTCTTTTTTAGAGGGGGCATGTATTAAACACAGTTTTAAGTAACAAAGTACTTATTACAAAGTTACAACATGTAGAATCAATACTGTTTCATTTGTTCATTAATTTATTCATTCAGCAAACATTTGTTGGGCATTTAATGTGTACCAGACCTTGCCAGGATCAGGAAATAATGAAATGAAAACAGACAATTCAGCCTGCAATTGCTAGTACAGGGGTCAAACAAGTCAATGATTAGAATTTAGTGTGTTAAGTGTTATGATACCCACAGAAGAGGCAGTGAAGGGAGAAACACTTCTGAGAATGGGTAGTAGTAGAACTGAGTATTTAAGCTGAATGTTAGGCCGGTAGACAGTGACTGGTTAGGCTGAGAAACCCACATGTATTTTCCTTGAGTTCTGCTTCCATTGTTATTTACTTTACAATAGATGTGAATGTCCAGATTTCATCTTATTTGCTGAAGGCAGGGAAAGGATGTGGAAGCAGGGGTTATGGGTTCTCAAAAGTGGATTTAAAGATTTTTTTATCACCATTTTGTGATACAGTTCACTGAGCACTTACATAGTTTAACAGTTACAAGTTTCCATAAATCAGTTAGAATACAGTCATATTCTATTCTAAATCAGTTGGAATACAGTCAGCTTCAGGGAAGGAATTTTCAAGAAGTGCAACCTTTGATTGTTTTACTATGGGAACCTGCAGTGGTATAACTGACAACATCATAACAATAACAGGTAAAGTATTTCAGGAACTCCCAAATGCCTTGTGGACCTCTTCAAAAATGTGGTTAGCCAATTGATTCAACTTTTATAGCTTTATATGCTCTCATATAAACCAATTTAAAAAACCCTTAGAAACACATTTTTTAGTAGAGGTTCTCACTTACTTATAAAGATTAATAATCAAATTGCTACAATTAATATCCATTTGGCCTTTTCAGTAGTCTAAATATCTAGCCATCTGTAACACTAGTTCATCTAGCCAATTCCAAACAAGCCTAATTCATAACCTATCTTATAAATGTTTGAAGTAGTGTCAAGAACATTGTTTATGCATGTTGTGACACTGTTTGTGGAACTGTAAAATTATTATCATAAGTATTTCAAACTGTGCTTACTTAGCTAGAAGAAAATGAAATAAAAATGAAAAAATACTGTCAAAAAATCACAATAATCATCTACGATGCTTCTTAAGCAACTGGCATTTAATTTTATCAGCACCACCACGCTTTTCTGGGGAACACTACCTCTGTGTGTGTGTTGTGTCTGTGTATCCTGTGTGCTGGATAATAGTCTTTATTAAGTGGGCAAGCCCTATATAGTCTGCAAAGTTTAACATGATAAAAAAAAAAGGCATCTAGATTTCCTCTTTCAGCCACCTAATAAGAAACTATAACACCCAACAGACTGGCAAAAATTCAAGTCTGACAACTCTCTTTCATACTGCTGATAGGAAAACAGTCTAGCATTACAAATTAAAGTGGAATTTGCATTCTCTATTTCACTCCAGCAATTCTGCAGCTAGAGCTACACTCTGAAGCAATTAGTTCTGAAATTAATAGATCACTTGCACCTGGGAACTTGTCAGAAACTCAAATTATGGGGACCTACCCCACACTTCCTGAATCAGAAACAGTGGGGTGGGAGCCTAGCAGTCTGTGTTTAAACAGCCCTCCGGGTGATTCTTATGCATGGTCAAGCTTCAGAATCACTGCTCTAGAGAAATGTACACATCTGCATAAGGAGCATATGTAAGTTTATATCAGCACTGTCTGTAATAATGAAATATGTCCATCATTACCAGAATGGACAAATAAATCATGCTCTATTCATACAATGGAATACTATATGGTCTACAATATAAATGATCTCAAGAATCTAACGTTATGTAGAAAAGAAAACCATAATGTGGAAAAATACCTATTATTTCATTGATATGAAGTCTAAAACATGCAAAACAATATTTAAAAGATGTAACTCTTGTGGTTAGAGGAGAGAAGGCTGTTACATCTGGTGTAACAGTGTCATCATTTCAGTAAGTGGTGGTAGATATTTCAACTAAAGTAGAAGAGAAATCGTTTCCAAAATTTTGTGGCTATGGCAGATGAAGCTAAAGTGATGTACAATAATCTCAGTGATGATCCTGGAAAGGGAAGCATCCCTGGAGACAGATGTTTGGTGATGGCGGGGATCTGGGACCGCTGAAGAAGCCCAGGAGTGCAGTTTATGTTTTAAATTTTCTGTGTCAGACAGGATCAAGGCAGAAACTGACATAAATGGAAACACTGATTTTTTACAAAATCATAAAGTGTTCATACTCTAAGGGTTTTTTGGAATCTAGATGACAATCAAATGTCAAGAGAAAGCAATGACACTGTTGAGGTGTAATCTGTCTGGCAGCTTATGTTTGCCATTCTCTCTGAATACTAATGTTGCTAGGGCAGCCCTAATGAAATAATCAGGAAAGGTCCTTGGTTTTTAACTGGTTTTCTTTAGTTCCTTTACCTATAGGCACAGCTCCTTAAAGAAACCAGATGGCTCCAGACAGCACCAGAGCTTCTTTGACCCCTGCCCAAACACCAGAGAAGACCTCACAAAACCACCTCAAACTGGAACAGATGACTCCTATTTGCCTTTAGATCATCGGCATATCATTACAGTGCTAAAATTCCCTCCCCTGAAAGAAAACCCTTGCCATTTTGTGTCCATATAATGTATGAAGACATATGTTCATGAACTGCGCCTTCATGTCTTGAGTCCCATCCTGCACATGCTAACATTCCTTTCCTGCCCCATTCCTTCCTAGCCCTTTTTAAAAATCCGATTGCCTTCTATTGTTTGGGAAGAAGGTACATTTAGCACAGGAGTTCACCTCCTCCATTCTCTGGCCAGAGAATGAAACTTTACTGCCTTTTACAATGGAATGTTCTTTCTTTGCAACCAATATGGAGTGGGGAAAGAACTCTTTACCAGTGACACTGAGACACAGTTATGCTCCTATAGTCACTTAAAATGCTCTCACTTATAAAATTTTCAGTCTATTCTTGTCCAAAAGTGCATTATTCTGTGATTTTTAGGCAAGCATCCGCAAGATATCATTAGCCCTGACCTTTTTACTTTGCACATCAGTGTTAGTTACCCTTTCCTATTGCAGCATAATCTTAGACTTATATTTGCACACTTTTGTGTCATGAAGTTCTGGGCAAATTTCTTCCAAATTCTAGTATTTCTTGGTCCTTCTTACTAAGAAGTCTGATGGATTGACATTGCCTCCAAAGTCAGGTTCATACATGGCAGACTAGCATTCAAGGACCTCTACAATCTAGTTACCAATTACCTTGACATCATATTCTCTAGTAATCTTCAACTGCACCCTATGGAAGAAAATCAGAACTCTTCTTCACTCTGTCTATACCTCTGGTTTTCCTTTTTATTTTTAAATAGATTATCCCTTTGTCTGAATACTCTGCCCCTCAGCACCACCCCTCCCCAATTCACCGCATCCAAATCTTTTATTTATAATCCAATTCAAATGCCACCTCTCCTGGGCACTTGACTATGTATTAAAAACGCATTCCTGGCCGGGCATGGTAGCTTACACCTGTAATCCCAGCACTTGGGAGGCTGAGGTGGGCAGGCCACTTGAGCCCAGGAGTTCGAGACCAGCTTGGGCAACATAAGGAGACCCTGTCTCTACAACAAATACAAAAATTAGCCAGGCATGGTGGTGTGCACCTGTAGTCTCAGCTACTCAGGAGGCAGACATGGGAGGATTACCTGAGCCCATGGAGGTGGAGGCTACAGTGAGCCCTGACTGCACCACTGCACTCTGGCCTAGGCAACAGAACTAGACCATGTCTCAAGTTCTAAAAAAACAACAACACATAAGGCAGATTAAGTCATGCCTTTGTCCAAATCCTCCAATGGCTTATCTTC